TTATATTTACTGCTTATATACGCAGATCAGCCATAACATTATGACCACCCACCATAACCAGGACTCCACTAGACCTCTGAAGATATGCTGTGGTATCTGGCACCAAGCTGTCAGTAGCAGATCCTTTAAGTCTTGTAAGTTGTGATGTGGGGCCTCTATGGACTGGACGTGTTTTTCCCACACATCCCACAGATGCTCAAGTGGATTGCGATCTGGAGAATTTGGAGGCCAAGTCTACATCTTAAACTCGTTGTTCTGTTCCTCATACCATTCTTGAATTGCTCAGACCAGGACGCCTTTTTCCTTTGTTCTGTAGTCCAGTTCTGATGCTCATGTGCACATTGTAGGTGGTTTTGGCTGTCGACACAGGTCAGCATGGGCACTCTGACTGATCTGTGGCTACGCAGCCCCACACACAACAATCTGCGATGCGCTGGGTGTTCTGACACCTTTCTATAAGAACCAGCAACAACTTTTTCAGAAATTTAAAGAGGAGCTCTGGACTCTGAAATTAAAAGTCAGCAGCTGCAAATACTGTAGCTGCTGACTTTTAATATAAGCACACTTACCTGTCCAGGATCCAGTGCCGTCCTCACCCGGGTTAGTTCTTCACTAGCCTCTGGGTTCCTGGAGCAGGCATAGCAAGTAAGGGAAACCAGAAGTGAAGCTATGTGGCTTCACAGCTGATTTCCTACTGCACATGCGCAAGTCGCGCTGCACCTTGTGAATGGGAAGGCACAATCCCAATGTACATGTTCATGTATATATGCAGGTGCTGCAGCGACCATCAGCTCAAACCAAGAGAAGTCAGAGGAGAAGAATGTCACCAGCATACCGAGGATCTCCAATATGGGTCCAAAGCTTTAATAAGTGATCACATAGTTACAGCAAGAGCAACGTTTCGGAGCCTCGCAGGAACCCTTCATCAGGCATCAGGTGCTTTGTGAATAGTCTCGTAGTCTTCTGGGACCTGTGAAGCAGGGGTGGACTGACAACTCATGGGGCCTCCAGGCAATAGGGGATCATGGGGCCCCTGTGTCCTTGCCCACACTCATAGCACACCCAAAAAAGCTTATAAAACTGTACCAGGGGCATTTCATGGGGCCCCCTATGACCTCGGGCAGTGTCCGAGTGCTCGAATGGTCAGTCCACCCCTGCTGTAAAGTGTCCCAAAAGACTGCGGGGAGGGGGGGGGGGCAAACTTTTGGCTCAGTTAACCAGAAGTGGGAGCAGGCACCTCTCAAAAGTAGACACCCACTCTCCCCCTCAAAGTGCCAAATGTGGTAGTGGAGGAAGGAGGTGGGTGCATACAAGCAGATCATCCCCTTTTGGGAGGAGCTCCACCTTAAACTACAGTAGCTCTTCTATTGGATGGGACAACATAGACCAGCCTTCTCTCCCCACATCAGTGAGCCTTGACCACCCACTGCCTCGCCGGTTTTCCTTCCTTGGACCATTGTTGGTAGGTCCTGACCAATGCAGACCGGGGACATCCCAGCAGAACTGCAGTTTTGGAGTTGCTCTGTCCCAGTTGTCTAGCCATCACAATGTGGCCCTTGTCACAGTAGTTCAAATCCTTACGCTCTTATGCATTCAACACATCAACTTCAGGGACAATATGTTCACTTGCTGCCTAAGGCTGGCCATACACTATACAATTTTATGTCCAATTCCTTTTAGATTTACTTTCAACTATGTAGTACAAGAGCCTGCCTAATTGGATACAATTGAAAGTGTTGTTAGTTTTGACCTCCTATTGTATGTTTTTTGGTAAATCTAAACCAAAAAGCTCAAGAAAATTGTATAATGTATGGCCAGCTTTATATATCTCACTGACTTTCAGATGCCATTGTAACAAGTTAATCGATGTTATTCACTTTGCCTGTCCATAATCATCAAGTTATGGCTGATCCTGACCTGATTAATCATTAATCTTTAATCACATCTACTGTTTAAACCCTCTGATAACAGCAATGTATGTAAGGCACACAGACAGCTGCAGGAGCCTGTTATTTGGGGCTGTTATGCACACTTCAGGAGCTGGAAGGGAACTGCCAGACAGGGGCAGACTGACCATTTGGAAACTCGGGCACTGCCCGGGGTCAGTAGGGGGCCCCATGAAATGCCCTTGGTACCATTTTCATAGGCTTTTTTGAGTTTGGGCAAGGACACAGGGGCCCCATGATCCCCTATTGCCCGGGGGCCCCATGAGTTGTCAGTCCGCCCCTGGTGCCAGATATCTCTTTTCACCCTCCAGCTGAAGTGTCAGGACGGGAAGCTGTATGAGGAATCGAAGACAATCCTCCGTTATGACCATTTGTCTGAACATTCAGATTCCGGGGTAGAAGATCTCTGCTGCCGTTCTGCCGCACACAGCTCTCAGCCACGTGCAGATATCAGCAACGGCCTGGAAGACCACGCCCCCTCACACATGACTGCAGCAGCACGCTATTCCGCTGTCCAGGGTGCTGATCCTGTAGCGATGCGCTCGGCACTCTACAGCTTGTGAGCGGCGATCCTCGCTGTGCCTGGTTGGTTGCCTAAGAGACGCAAGACGCTGAATGGCAGCCTGCGAGGAGAAGCGTGCCCGGGATAGTATGGGGGCCCGGGGAGAACACGGGGAGCGGGCTGAGCAGGTAACTGCGGGGAAATACGGAGGGGGGAGGGGGGCTGAGCCATGTGGCCATGTGTTTCCTCATACTGCCAAGCTTGGGGGAGGGGGGGAGCATAATACTCTCGGAGGGAGGAGGGGGGTTCAGGACGTCTGTACTGGCTGATCATGGGGGCAATATTCTAACAAATCCAACCAACCGCATGCAATGCATCCTACAATCATGCCCGATCACACTGGTACACTGTCACATTTTATGGTTTTATCTGATCACCTGGTAAATCATTGACTTGTCACTCAAAAAAATACACCTTAACCCATTCAATACCGGGCAATCTTACACCTTCCTGCCCAGGCCAGTTTTCAGCGCTCTCACACTTTGAATGACAATTGCGCGGTCATACAACATTGTACCCAAACTAAAATTTTATCATTTTCTTCACACAACTAGAGCTTTCTTTTGGTGGTATTTAATCACCGCCGGGGTTTTTATTTTTTTGCTAAATTAACAAAAAAAGACCAAAAATTTTGAAAAAACATGTGTTTCTTTGTTTCTGTTATAAAAGTTTGCAAATAAATAATTGTTCTTCATAAATTTAGGCCAAGATGTATTCTGCTACATGTCTTTGGTGAAAATAACCCAAATTAGGATGTATTTTTTAGTCTGTAGGAAAGTTATAGAGTTCACAATCTATGGTATAGATCTGAATATTGATCAATCCTGAAGTACTGACAGCCAATCTAATTTCTTGAGGTCCAAAAATGTCAGAACAGTACAGATATCCCCCAAATGACCCCTTTTTGCAAAGTAGACAGTCCGACGTACTTCATAAGAGACATGGCGAGTTTTTTGAAGTTGTATTTTTTCTGGCATAATTTTTTGGAAAATTAAAAAATTAAAAAAATTAGTTTCACTATTTTTTTTTTACATACTGTCACCAGTGCAGTACAGCGTCATCATATAACTGGCATGGCGGTGATCAGGGACACTGACTGGTAAAAGTATAAAAAAAATATATATATATATATTTAAATTTTTTTTATTATTTTTTATTTTTTATTACATTTTTCTTTTTTTAAAGATTTCTTTTTCATATTTTACTATGACCAAAGTAGTACAATGTTACCATAGTAACATTGTACTACTTTGGGGAAGTGATCAGTATTTTTTTTTTTTTTACACAATTTGCTTATAGCAAAGTATTACTTTGCTATAAGCAAGCATTTACCTGAATGACAACGATTCATTCAGGGTTTTTTTTTTTTTGTGCTTAGCTGTGATTTGGCCACAGCTAATCACATGACATGTGCATGTGATTAGCTGTGACCATTCACAGCTAGACACTAGTATACAATGGATGGCATGAATGAAGCCATCCATTGTATACAACTGTCATGTGACCTGCTGTGATTGGTCACAGCAGGTCACATGGTACCGGCAACAGGGGCCAATACTCAGATCTGTCATCGGCCGTGTCCGAGGTACACGGCCGGTGACAGATCACGCCGATGCGCGGCTATGCAGGAGCGCAATCTGCGCATGTGTGGGAGGACACCATATGGCGTCCACCCGGAACGCTGATGACATTTGCCGGCCGCCATTCAGCCATAGGGCGGGTGGCAAATGGTAAAAAAATGCACAGTGCATTTTTAGCGCGTTTCCATTGACCTCAGTTCACGCTAGTCCGTAGGCTGCAGACTGGTTGCGGGTGCAGGAATCACACCTGTTCCCAGACCCACAACCAACTGCAGCCAAATCCCGCATTTTGCGAGACACGCTGGGATGTAATTCAATCTGAATGGCACCCCCATACACCTCAGCCTGCAGCGCGATTGCGAGAACTGCTGGGAAACGCAGCACCACAGCTCATGTGTTATAGAATAGGAAGAAGGGTCAGCCGCACACCAGAGGATTGATGAGTATAGTGTATATTTATTAATCCATAGACCACACAAAATACCAGGACATGAATACAGGACTTGTTAACGCGTTTCACATGATCTCCTGCTTAATTATGATGGATTAATAAATATAGACTATACCCATCAATCCTCTGCTGTGCGGCTAACCCTTCTTCCTATTGCATGGTGTGTGGTGGCGAGCCAGAGTCTGCACCTGTCATGGATTGATCTGAAGGGCCCCCTCCATACAAAAATATGATAACTACAAAATGATTTTGTTTTTTTTTTTTAACATGTATTTGAGAAAGTGGATTTTTTCCTGCAAAATCTATAAAAGTTTATACTCTGGTTTATTGTATCAGTTTAAAGACCAACTCTAGGAATTAGAAAAAATTGATCCTAGTAGTGCCCTCCATGCCCACCCCACACTGCACAGGTTAAATGCCTGCTATTTCTAAGGGGTAGAGGAAGAGGTATTATTACTTACTCCATCCCCTGCTCTGGCCGCCTTTTTTCTGCTGAGGCGGTTCCTCAGCATCATCATTTACAATCAGGGGCGGACTGACCATTTGGAAACTCGGGCACTGCCTGAGGGCCCGGGGGTTAATAGGGGGCCCCATGAGATGCCCCTGGTACCTTTTTCATAGGCTTTTTTGAGTTTGGGCAAGGAAACAGGGGCCCCATGTTCCCCTATTGCCCGGGGCCCCATGAGTTGTCAGTCCGCCCCTGTTTACAATGCAGGTCTTAGGAAGCTATTCAGAACAAATGTGAGCACGTGCTGAGAAGGAGGTGGCAGAAGATGTGAATGGTCTGAGGAGAGGATCTGGCATAGTTGCCAATACTGTACATTGTGTGCTGTGTTTGTTTGCTCAGGAATGCATGCAGGCTCATTCACATTGCACCAAAGCATGCAGCTGTACACGTTAGCAAGAGCGTGCATGCTGGCACATGTTAGCTCACATCTGCTGCCAGAACTGGTGCCAAATGCCTTATATAGGGACAGTTGATGTGCTCAGAGTTTGCTGGATGATCTTCAGCTACCAGTGCTCCTCATTACTGTGATCTTTGGACTACCTGTTTTGCCTGCCTCTGGACCTTCTTGCTGCCTGACTCCTGGTTTGACACCGGCTTGTTCTAAAACCTCTGCTTCTCTTGTTTAACCATGTATGACTCTGGCTTGCTTCTTTGACTACTCTCCTTTACTGCACTGGACCCCTGTGAATGACCTCTGCTCTGTTCTTGACCATGTTCCTGCCTACTCCCTGGCTTACCTTCCCATGTATGATTTCGGCAACCATCCTGACTACGCTTCCTCAGTCCAGTTCTGCCAGGCTGATTTCGCTTATTCCTCAAGTGCCACCTCATTTGTGGTTGCTGCCTTGGTCTTGCTACATCTCTAAGGGCATCTGTCCTGGCAGATAAGCTGACAGCCAGCTTATCAAGGGTATTTATTTGTTCTGCTCAGAGTTGGACTTTAAATTAATTTTGGCATCTCAAGAAAACCATGCATACCCCTTTAAGGAAGTTAGCCTACAACTGTGTGTGTGTATGTCATGCATTTGTAAAAGGTGTGACTGTCATTGAGAAAATAAACCAGCTCTTTAGTTATCAGTTAGTTAGTGAGGAAAGTTGATTAAAAGGACATTTAGTGTAGAGGTAGGTCTGGCCAGCATTGTCAGCCTACAGCAACCTTTCAGCTCCAGAGAAAGAGGCTTGTCCCTCAAAACATGTCAGGTGACTTGTCTAAACTGAATGTTTCTGACGAGGTCCTTCAACTTGATCATCTAGAACACAGATGTCAAACTGGCGGCCCTCCAGCTGCTGCCAAACTACAAGTCCCATGAGGCGTTGCAAGATTGACATTTACAAGCATGACTCTCAAAGGTAGAGGTATGATAGGACTTGTAGTTTTGCAACAGCTGGAGGGCTGCCAGTTTGACACCCCTGATCTAGAAGATGGGGATATTAGGAGGTCCTGTTCATGGGATGTGATGGATGGTTATATACCTGTAATTGTAATATTTGTGTTCGTATTTTACTTGGTTTTGTAAATAATGTTGTGCCAAAGGTGTTGCATAAGGTGGGTGCGCTTTCTCTTTTTGTGATTTTAAGGACAACCTCTTTATTCTGATTTATATAGTTATGTGTACAATAGTATGTATAACAGTATGCATTTACAGTTAGATCCATATATATTTGGACACAGGCATAATTTTAGATTTTTTCAGGTATTTACCAAAATATATTCAAGCTATAGTTATATAATGGATATGGGTTGAAAGTGCACACTCAGGTTTAATTTGAGGGTATGTACATCCAAATTGGAGGAAGGGTTTAGGAAGTACAGCTCTTAAGAATAGCCAACCCCCCTTTTTCAAGGGACCAAAAGTAATGGACAGTTGAATCAACAGCTGTTTCATGGCCAGGTGTGTGCTACTCCTTTGTTATTTCTTCATCATTTAAGCAGGTAAAAGGTCTGGAGTTGATTTTAAGGGTGGTATTTGCATTTGGAATTTATTGCTGTGAACCTACATCATGCTTTCAAAGGAGCTGTCCATGCAAGCGAAACAGCCCATTGTAAGGCTTCAAAAACGAAACAAATCCATCAGAGAGATAGCAGCAACATTAGGAGTGGCCAAATCAACAGTTTGGTGCATTATGAGGAAAGAAAAAAGCACTGGTGAGCTCAGCAACATAAAAAAGCATGGACGTCCATGGAAGACAACAGTGGTAGATGATCGCAGGATCCTCTCTATAGTAAAGAAAAACCCATTCACAACATCCAGACAAGTGAAGGACACACTCCAGGAGGTGGGCGTATGATTGTCAAAGTCTACAATCAAGAGAAGACTTCACGAGAGCAAATACAGAGGGTTCACCACAAGGTGCAAACCATTCATAAGCCTGAAGAGTAGAAAAGCCAGATTAGACTCTGCCAAAAAAACATATAAAAAAGCCAGACCAGTTCTGGAAAAGCATTCTTTGGACGGATGAAACTAAGATTAATCTGTACCAGAACGACAGGAAGAAAAAAGTATGGAGAAGTCTTGGAACAGCTCATGATCCAAAGCACACAACGTCATCTGGAAAACATGGCGGAGGCAGTGTGATGGCATGGGCGTGCATGGCTTCCAGTGGCACTGGGTCATTGGTGTTTATTGATGTTGTGACAAAAGACAGAAGCAGCCGGATGAATTCTGCAGTGTTTAGAGATATACTGTCAGCCCAGATTCAGCCAAATGCAGCAAAGTTGATTGGATAGCGCTTCACAGTACAGATGGACAATGATCCAAAACACACTGCAAAAGCAACCCAGGAGCTTTTGAAAGAAAAGAAGTGGAATATTCTGCAATGGCCGAGTCAATCACCTGATCTCAACCCAACTGAGCATGCATTTCACTTGCTGAAGGCAAAACTAAAGGCAGAAAGACCCACAAACAAAGAACAACTGAAGACAGCTGCAGTTAGAGCCTGGCAAAGCATCAGAAAGGAGGAAACCCAGACTTTGGCAATGTCCATGGGTTCCAGACTTCAGGCAGTCATTGCCAGTAAAGGAATTTCAACAAAATATTAAAAATTAACATTTTATTTAGGATTATATTCATTTGTCCAATTACATTTGAGCCCCTGAAAATGGAGGGACTGTGTATAAAAATGATTGCAGTTCCTAAAATTTGTACTTCATATTTCTGTTCAACCCCTTGAATTAAAGCTGAAAATCTGCACTTCAAATTAATTTGGATTGTTTCGTTTTAATTTATTCTGGTGGCATACAGAGCCAAAAGTATGAAAATTGTACCTGTGTCCAAATATGTATGGACCTAACTGCACATGTACAGTATTTACTTCACATATAACACATTTAACCTTTTAAGTATGTACTGTATATATTATCAATTACAATACTGTGATTTGCCATGTATAATAATTCCTGTGTATAAGGGGTTTACTGTTCCTGAAGTGCCCTGGAACCCCCAAGGTCTAAATCCAACCCTGCCCACAATAGTTTATATATTTATAATGAACTGGTACTTTGCCCATTAAGTTCACTTTAGTGCTAGATCCTGCAGCTGCATATATTCAGATTCCCTTTGCACCCCCAGTGCTCTGTTCACTGCTGGGAATAAAATCAAAACAAAAACAAATCCCCTTGTAAGCTCCATGTGGATCCCAGTTGGAGTTTACTCGGGGCTGACAACTTTCTTCCAGCCCCTACCTATGTGATAGTGCTGGGCTCTAAGTGGCATGTTACCAGCACGGTTACATGTTGGAAAGGAGAGTGAGCCCCATGGTCTACCATACCCAAAGGTACCAGGCATTTGCTCCTGATTCAAAAAAGATCAGCAGGGAAATGAAGGGATGAGTATGTGCAGCTGGCAGAGCTAATATTAAAAATAAAATGTTGCTTTGTCTTGCATAGGCAAAGGGCATGGTCACTTTAAGTATCTACACTATATTGCCAAAAGTATTGGGGCGCCTGCCTTTACACGCACACGAACTTTAATGGCATCCCAGTCTTAGTCTATAGGGTTCAATATTGGGTTGGCCCACCCTTTGCAGCTATAACAGCTTCAACTCTTCTGGGAAGGCTGTCCACAAGGTTTAGGAGTGTGTCTATGGGAATGTTTGACCATTCTTCCAGAAGCACATTTGTGGGGTCAGGCACTGATGTCGGACGAGAAGGCCTGGCTCGCAGTCTCCACTCTAATTCATCCCAAAGGTGTTCTATTGGGTTGAGGTCAGGACTCTGTGCAGGCCAGTCAAGTTCCTCTACCCCAAACTCGCTCATCCATGTCTTTATGGGCCTAGCTTTTGTGCAGTCATGTTGGAACAGGAAGGGGCCAAACCCAAACTGTTCCCACAAAGTTGGCAGCATGAAATTGTCCAAAATGTCTTGGTATGCTGATGCATTAAGAGTTCCCTTCATTGGAACTAAGGGGCCAAGCCCAATCCCTGAAAAACAACCCCACACCATAATCCCCCCTCCACCAAACTTTACGCTTGGCACAATGCAGTCAGGCAAGTAACGTTCTCCTGGCAACTGCCAAACCCAGACACGTCCATCAGATTGCCAGACAGAGAAGCGTGATTCATCATTCCATAGAAAATGTCTCCACTGTTCCAGAGTCCAGTGGTGGCATGCTGTACACCACTGCATCCAGCGCTTTGCATTGCACTTGGTGATGTAAGGCTTGGATACAGCTGCTCGGCCATGGAAACCCATTCCATAAAGCTCTCTACGCACTGTTGTTGTGCTAATCTGAAGACCACATGAAGTTTGGAGGTCTTTAGCTATTAACTCTGCAGACAGTTGGTGACTTCTGCGCACTGTGCGCTTCAGCATGCTGACCCTGCTCTGTCTTTTTTCGTGGCCTATCACTTCGTGGTTGAGTTGCTGTTGTTCCCAGTTGCTTCCACTTTCTTTCAATACCACTAACAGCTGAATATTTAGTAGCAAGGAAATGTCACAGATGGACTTATTGCACAGGTGGCAACCTATCACGGTACCACGCTTGAATTCACTGAGCTCCTGAGTGTGACCCATTCTTTCACAAATGTTTGTAGAAGCAGTCTGCATGCCTAGGTGCTTGATTTTATACACCTGAATCTAATGATTTGGAGGGGTGTCCCAATACTTTTGGCAATATAGTGTATATTTATCAGGACAGAGGTTAGGGTGAGCTGATTGGCAGATCCTCATTGCAATGGGTAGCTGGCCTGAATCTGGAAATCATCAA